AAGGTCAAACAACTTCTATACAACGAAAGGAGACTGCGACCACACAAAAGGCCACAGCATCTTGGTCTTCGTCGGAATCGCAGAACGATGAGCTGATACTTTCTTCAAATAATCCACCAGACTTCAATCCGCGGCAAGCCTCCTTCAGTTTTTGGTGCTACCAATTTACTTGCTTCTTTAGAATGAATATGATTGTAAGAATGATGGTCACCCTGCACTGGACATGTCCGTCATATGACGGATGAAAGTTTAGCGCGTTATCACCAGAATCGAACTAGATTGCCTCGGAAACAGCGTCAGCTGGAATGTTCCAGTAAAATCAATCAACAGCTGGTCAAGACGAATCCGTCATCGTCTTCTGGTGGAATCGAACTTGGAATCCCTTCACTGTACACTTTCACTCGAAATGGAAGAAAGCTCCACAATTAAAAAAGTAAGAAAAGGTATGAAGAGCAAGATTGTGTGGCCTTTTGTGTGGTCGTAGTCTCCTTTCGTTGCTTGACCTTTTTTTCGCAACTCGGTCATGTTGGTAGAAAGACTTAGAGGAGTCCATTGTCTGCATCATCATTTTCAAAGTTGAACCGTGGACGAGGTACATTTCGAAAAGTTTCGCCGGCATCGTCAGTGAGTATCGCCATTCTTAGCACCATACAACAACTCGTCAAAAGAGACAAGCCAAGAAACTTTTCGGAATGTACCACGTCCACGGTTTAACTTTGTAAATGATGATGCATACAATCGACTCCGGACTAGATGCGTTCCTCTAAGTCCACCTACCAATATGACCATGTTGCGAAAACAAGGTCAAACAAGCTCTAAAAAGTAAAATATTTTTCTAAAGCCAACTTTTATTCACAGCTTACTTGTTCCATCCACTTTGCATAACGGCAGCGTTAAGGTTGAAATCTTCAAAATCCCCGTTCGCGTTAGCCCATCCGATGCGCTCTCGAGGCGTCTTCGTGTCCACCAGTTGCCGTGCACCTCTTGCCTCCGACTGTACGGCTCCTCCTCCTCCTCCGCCTCCAGCTGCCTGTCTTTCGGGCCCCAACGTTGCCCAGACGACGCTGGCCAGTACCACGCCCGCGGTAACTAGACGGACGACAGTCTCACCACTGCCATCGAGTGCCTCAATCAGGGCGTCCGGAGCAAAGCCCACCATTTGATTCGGAGGTTTGCTGTTCGAGAGCACCCCCGACGCCGCCGCCGCCGTCTTGTTGTCTCTGACCTTTCGACCCCTCGGAAAAAGCAGAGACGAGGTGCCGTGGGTCACGCTGAAGGGGAGCTGAGTGAGAGGCCGACCTGTCAAGAGGCTGTTGGCAGGCGGGAAGACGAAATCCTCACATGTCACATCGTCTCCAGGCACGACTGGAAGGCCGGGCACTTCCGCCTCCGACGGCGGAGGAAGCTCGATTTCGGAGACCAAGTGTGAACAGAGGCCACGTTTTTCAAACAGCTGCCGGATAGACAAACAAATGAAAATAAAATAATTATTTATCGTTTGGAGTAGTCAAGTTTGATTTATGAGATGTACAGTAGCAACTCATATATAATGTGGATAAGTTAGAAGCGAATTATCGTCTGATGCATAATCTTCTCTTTAACCCACGTAAAGTACGCAAAAATATATTCTTATGCAAGCACAGAATTCTTGATACAAATGACAATTACTTTTCTATAGTTCTTTTACCATGTTGAGAATGTTTCTGGAATGTTGATATTCAGTTTTTGCTCATCAAAATAGCCTATAAACTCTTAAAAACCAATTGGATCTCTCTAAAACCTGATTGCTGACTATAGAGTGATGCCATAACAAATAAATGTGGGACTTAAAGTTAATTTTTCCTAAATAAAGTGAGCCGGACTGAACTACAGTTTCACCCTTGATAGGATTCTAACATAACCAGCAGTAGGATTTGTAACTGGGGTGTGTATAGAAAATGGAATCATCTCCACTCCACCACATGTCTATGGAAGCAAGCCGGATCCATTCAAGATCACATTTATGGTAAGATAGTTGTCGATAAGGCAGGCCAACTGAGATTATTCTTTATCCCATTTATATTTTCGGATTAAGTGAGTTTTACACTAAATGATAAAATAAATATTAAGAAAAAAAGAACATATAAAAAGCGTCTAAGAAAATGAGAAGATTACCTCTTTTAAGTTGGTTTTCGAGATTGGATGTACTCACCCCGTTTCGTTTAATGTGAAAAAGGGACTGGTAATTGAATTTTCACACAATCGCATACGTAAACCTTATGTTTTCATTCAATTTCACATAGTCTTGCTTTCCCAAAAAGTATTCTTATCTCGACTGGATTGGACTTCAGTTCGGTACTAGCTTTAGTCTCGTCAGCACCTCCAGCGGGGCTCGAGCCATGACAGTTCCGTGTATACTCTCGACACTTTAACTACTACGCCACACATTGTCACGAGTACCTCTGGGCCACAGAACAGGTGTGAATTTGAGTAAAATCCTATCCTTATCACCTTAAACGAAATAAGATGAATAAATCTCATAAATAAGATCTGGTGGCAGACTCAAAAACCTGCTTATAAATTAAAAATAAGTAAAGTATTAGATTGCTATAGCAAGTAAAACTTTGCCTCACCGACAATCCCACAACAGAATGTGATTTTTTTTAATGTTGAGCTTTGCTATTCACATTTACCCCGTGAGACAGAGGCACTCGCAGCAGGT